GTAAACACCTCTTGAGGGAATTCCAGTAAGATGTTGACACAATATTCCTGTGCATGTGCAGTTACGTAATGTGATGTCGGAACTATAAAAGGCCGCCCAGAATGGATTAAAGGTGGGGGAATTAACTGAGACGAGACGATGCATTGCTGAATGTATGAAGTTTTAAGACAGCTGTATGAATTCGGTTTTGTAAATAAATGTTCCCCCCTTTGGGTGACAGAATGATGTCAATCGTCAGCCTTCTTTCTGTCATAAGAGAATTCTACCAATGAGCTTCCATATAATTTTCAGAACAATTAAAAAAAAACTTGTTTCTTTCAGAAACCACCTGAGTTATTGATATGTAGAACCACCTGCTACAAATTCTACACCACCTGTTCAGAACTTCAGTATAAAAATGCCACAAAAAATAAGGACAGCTATGTTGAATACTATTTCTCATTTAAAAACAAAGCAAAAAAAAAACAGAAAAAAAAAACAGCAGTGTCTTGAATCTCCTGAAACTTTTACTGTAGAATAGAGGTGTAACTGTAACTCTGCTCTGAGAACTCATCCTACTAAGTAACTCAGCCACTTGGAAACAACTAACACCTTAAAATACAAATGTAAATGTATAAACTACAGGACAAATCCATACCTCCTAAGCCAATCCTAAGCCACTCACTGTATTACTGTATTTCAACCTGGCCCTATTTACTAATTAAAGTTTACTTGAGTAACTTTTTGGAAAAAAAGAAAACTTTTAGGATAGTTCAACCCCTCTCTACTTTTGCTTTTAAAGTATCACTATGTTTTTAATTTAGTATAATTTCTGGCTCCTCTTCCAGCCAAGGATAACTACACTAATGGAGAACCCTTTTTAACCAAAACTGCCCCAGACACAGCCATGTACAGTTAATCTTAGGTGAGACTCTTACTGCTACATAAGCTTTGTAATTACAATGTTATGCTTATATAATCTCTGAACCAATATATACTTAAGTGATCTTAAGTGTTTCTTCTGCCTGGACTTCTTGTTTTTTAATCAAGTTATTCATGTGTATCCACCACGTTGTTATCGTCTTTAAATACCAGAATTTTTACAGAACTTTATAATTTTGTCTATCTGATAAGATATATCTAAATATTGAGTCAAATGTTATCAATTACCCGGTATTTAAAGTGGCGTTTTAACAAATTAATTTTGATCATAGCTGAGTAATTTCTTAGATTACTAATTTTTACATTTAGTTGAGCAAAAATTTGTTGCAGCAATGCTACTTTTACCTGGGTGCAATTTTTGCATACTCAACCCATCCCTGCTGCTACTTGCAGCAAAATATGTGACCTGCTTTTGAGTAAATAAAAGTTTAGAAATTCTGATATGTCAGAACAGAGATCCATCCTTCTACTTTTTATTGCAATCATCATTATACTTTTTTCTCATTTTGTTGATGTTCAATCTTAAGGGGTTAAAGTATCTATGTATCACCATGCAGAGAAAACAAAAGCATCTGATTGATATTACTTGAACAACTCACTGAAGCACTGAATGTAAATCTAAGTCAATGAAAAAACTGCCATTTTTAATGCAATCTAATGTATGGCATTAAGATGTAGATGACATTATAATATCTAATCTAAGAATCATGATTAAATAAATGATTATTTAAAACACCACTTTTAAGCAACCAATCCAATAAACAAATCAAACTATTACCCTCATTGTCTTAAAATTAATCAATTCTTTTGATCAGAATTTTAGGACAACTTCTGTAAATACATGCAAAAAAAAAAAAAATGTTTTCTCTGTCACATGAACTTTAATTTGTTCCAACTCAGGGCCTGATTTTAAAAGATTCCAAAGAAGTAATCACAATTGTAATAAATATATAATAAAGTGCAATGGTGGACAAAGTACTCAACAGTAGTACTTGAGTGAAAGTATAGATACTTATAGACAAATCTTCCTCAACTACAGGTAAAACTTACTCGGTCAAACATCTACTCAATTTAAAGTATTCAAGTAGTCACTTTCATAAATAAAGTATTTAAAAGTACAAATTACCTTATCTAATACCAGTAGACTACACTTCTCTGTAATTTTCAAAGTAATTTAAAAGATCCTTGTAACTTTTAGGAACCACCTGATGTATTGATGCGTAGAACCGTCTGCTACAAATTCTACACCACCTGTAAAGAACTTCCGCATATAAAATACCACAAAAATAAGGACAGCCATTATGATTACTATTTCCTATTTAAAAACAAAGCCAAAAGAAAACATAAGTGTCTCTATTCCCCTCACACTTTCACTGTGGAATATAGGTGCAAGGCTGAATCTATTACCACAAAGAAACCTCAACTCTGCTTTTAGACCTCATCCTACTGAGCAACTCGGTCACATGGCAACAACTCATGCCTTAAAACGTATAAACTACAAATAATATCTGCCCTGGGCCTCGCACATTTGTGGAACATCATGCAAATCTAAAAAAAAAAATGGTGTTCAAATCCAGTCCTAAAGGCTGCTGTCTTGCAGGTTCAAATTGCACTTCAAAGTAATGAGTAACTAGCAGCTTCCTAGAAATGCAGTGGAATAGAAAGCACAGTATTTGATTTTGCAAGGTAGTGGAGTAAAAGTCA